AAAAATAAAAGGGAAGTAAGTTTTTATCTCTTTAAACTACAGTAAAACTCGGTTAGTACGAACACGGATATTGTGAATTCACGGATATAGCGAAGTTATCTTGGATCCCCAGCTATATAGATTTAACGAACTTCTTTTTCGGATATAACGAATTATGGATAAAGCGAAGTAATTTCATAGGTCCCAGTGACTTCATTATAACCGAGATTTACTGTATAAATTTATTCCTTTTTTAGTGCTGTGTGAGTGACACTGAGGGAGCCATGTTTGTCAATGGCAAGTCTGTCTAGGCAGCAACTTCACCAAACCCATCCTGAGTATGTACACTACAATGTATGAATGTCAATATACAGTGAAACACGCTTATAGCGAATATGCTTATTATGAGTTGACCCTTAAACAGAAGTGATTTACAGTCCCCTTATATGTCAATATACAGTGAAACACGCTTATAGGGAATATGCTTATTATGAGTTGACCCTTAAACAGAAGTCAGATTTACAGTCCCCTTATATGTCAATATACAGTGAAACACGCTTATAGCCAATATGCTTACTGTGGTTTCATCAATTTTCGTTGGCATCAATTTTCGTGGATTTTGTAAAACAGACATTTTCGAGGATACGTAATTTCATGGACAAAAGCATTGCCTATACAAATGTATGTTATATTTTGTAATTTGATGAACATTTGAATTCGTGGATCTGCTCAACAACGAAATCCACGAAAATTGGTGTTCAACGAATATTGATGAAACCACAGTATTATGAGTTGACCCTTAAACAGAAGTGATTTACGTATTCCTAATTTAACTACATTACGAAAATTGTAATATAAGTTTTATATTACAAGTTATCGTAATATAAAACTTATATTACAATTTTCGTAATGTAGTTAAATTAGGAATACGTGTAATATAGCAGATGTAAGAGACTTTATTAAGAGTTTTCGTAATCCAAGACAAATCCAAGCATTGCAAGAAATTGAGTAGCGGGTAGCAAAGTATGACGTTTAATATGAGATGTCATGGGCGATAACTTGTACCACTCTTACTGAGATTTGAATTCTGTGTATTTCAATAAGAATTGCACGAACAGTTGAATTATGAGACGAGGGTGTGATTTTTAGGGCAGACTTCGCAAGAAAAGTAGGGAGTTCGGGTGATATAGACCAATGCGACATGCTTAAGCGAATATTGAAATTTACTGGAAAATTGGTCTTATCCTTGGGAAAATTCCTATAAAAGAATAATAAAAGAAATTGTCCACTCATCCATCGCTGGCGGTACTTTCTTCTTGAATTTCCATGCATTCTAAAAGGCGTAACTGACCAAACTGACCGCGTGCTATCAGTAGCCGTGGAATCATGTGACGTGACGTCATACTTTGCTACCCACCACTCAATTTCTTGCAATGCTTGATTTTGTCTTGGATTACGAAAAACTCGTAATATAGTCTCTTACAATCTGCTATATTACGTGTATTCGTAATTTAACTATATTACGAAAAATTGTAATATAAGTTTTATATTATGATAACTCGTAATATTACGCTTTTTCGTAATCTTACGTTTTTTCGTCATCTTACGAATTTTCGTATTGGACTGGACTGTTATTCATGTATCATTGTTTAAGACAGATATTTAGCGATGTACTTGCATGAATTAGCGGAAGTATCTTTCCGTCAAAAGCACTTAAAAGAAGACACTGCCAAATGTAATAGGTTTACAGACATACAGTATAAAGAATCAAATGAAGTAAAATTGTCAGTGAATCAGTCCCTGTGACTTCTTTATAAGTGTGTTTTACTTTCAGATCTGTTAAAACTGTATCTGAATTCTGAAGAGACTCTAAAGTCTGAAAGTCACGTTTTATTAAAAGCAAGTATTTTGTTTCATCTATATTATTTGCAGAGTTTACGTTGCCACAAAAAGATGACCAGTGACTTAAGCTTTATTGGAACCTCCAGTCTCATAGCTATACAGCAGGCCACTCATCCGAGAGCAGAAATGTCTGTTTATGTCACACACTGCTGCCCCCTAGGAGTGCTTGTGTACATTGTGAGTACAATAAAGGGTCAAGGGCAAAAATTAAAAACAATTAGAAGGACTGTCCTTTGTGATGCAGTGTTTGATATTTTGATCAAGAAATATGTTTTCTTTGTTTATGCTTTTTAGCTCTACTGGTCGAAGACCAGAAGAGCTTATGCAATAGTAATACATCCATCGTCCGTCCCTCTGTCTGTCCATCTGTAAACAATTTTAAAAAATGCTACTCCTCCTGCAGATTTGGTCTGATTTCAATATACCTTGGCATATAAGTAGACTACACTAAAATACATAATTCTGTATATCGGTTTTTGATTTTGTTGAAGGGTGTTGCAGTGGTTGCTAAAAATATAAATTTCTAAGGAAAACTTTCCAAACCCTATTCCCTCTACGATTTGATCTGATTTCAATATAACTTGTCATGTACCGGTAAGTAGACTGCACTACGATACATAATTCTGTATATCAGTAGTGATTTCGATGAACGATGTTGCCATGGTTACTTAAAGTAGATATTACTGGGAAATGCTTTCAAAGCGCCACTCCTTCTACAGTTTTGGTTTAATTTCAATATAACTTGGCACACAAGTAGAGTGCACTTTGATACACACCTGGTAATTCTTTATATCCGTTTTAAATTTCAATGAACAGTCTTGCTCTCCAGGTAACTTAAAATAGAAATTTCTATGAAATACATTCAAAATGCTACTCCTCCTACAGTTTTGGTCTGATTTCAGTATAACTTGGCACATAAGTAAAGTACAATATAACAGTTACATAATTTTTTATGTCGGTTTTTGTTTTCCCTGAATGGTATTGCCATGGTTACTAATAAAGAGTAGAAATTTCTGTGAAATACTTTCAAAATGCTATTCCAAATACAGTTCTAGTCTGATTATAATGTAATTTGGCATGCATGTAGACTACACTTAGATACATAATTATCAGTTTTGTGTTTTTGATGATTGATGTTGCCATAGTAAATAAAATTGAAAATTCTGTTAAGTTTTATTAAAAGCTATTCCTACAGTTGTAGTCTTATTGCAATCTTGCCACAAAAAGAGACTTGATCTAGGATCATTATTCTATTGGTTGCTTTTTAAAGTTTCTCTTTTCTCTTCCTTTATAAGGTCTTTTAACGTAACTGCGGGACAGTTCCTCGCACATGCGCACAAACGCTTCCGAGTGGAAAGCGTTATTAGAAACGGAAATGGTGAAATCTTGTTGTGTTTACAAGTGTCGAAACGTTTGTAATGGGGATTCCAGGTCAAAGGGTGTCAGTTTCTTTCGGTTTCCCAAGAACAAAAGAAAAAGAAGAGCTTGGATAAAAGCTGTGAACAGAGACAAATGGATACCAAACGAACATACCTGGATCTGCTCTGAACATTTTATTGATGGATGGCACGGAGATGAACCGAGCGATGACAATTATGCCCCAACAATTTTTGCATATAAACAGAAACGATCAGAAGGGGATTTTAACAGGGAACAGAGAAGACTTGATCGAGAAACAACCAGGGTATCTACTTCTGACTTTCACAATTATAATTTTTGAAATCTTATAAATGAAAGGGTAAAAAAAAAATTAAACATTTAATTATGTTTGACAGGTCCAGCACAATACCCTTATAAAGGTATATATATAGCTAGATAAAGCTATATAGCTTTATCAAGGTATTACAAATACCTTGATCAAGGTATTTTATGTCATGAAAATTAATAAAAAATTATTTAAAAATCTGAATACTGAAAGTCGAGTTCTGAGTTGTTGTCAATGTGTCCACTCGTGCATGAAAAGCACTCTGGTATCAAAAAGGAAGCACAAAATAATGTCTCCTCACACGACACATTTTTATACTGAATTGTTTGTGTTTGAGTACTTTACATCCATGGGTGAATTTACTGACAACAACTCAGAACTCGACTTTCAGTATTTGATTTTTTAAGATTTTTTTTTGAATTTTCATGACATTAAATACCTTGATCAAGGTATTTCTAATACCTTCAGAGGCTGACAAATAGATTTTTAAGGCACTTGCCCAAGGGCTAGTACATGGTCAAAATTAACTTGCCCTAGCTAGCTACCTGAATTTTTGCCTGCCCTACCATTAGCTTATACTGTATTTATAAATATTTCAAAAAAGAGAAAGACAAATACTGAGTAAAATATTGGCATACATATTGATTTTATTTTTGATAATTGATTAAGTCACTTGCCCACGGGCAAATGGTTGATAAAATTTTACTTGCCCAATCCTAAAATTCACTAGCCCCGGGCGTCGGGCAATGGGATTTGTTATCCCCTGACCTTGATAAAGCTATATACCTTTATCAGGGTATTGTGCTGGACCTGTTTGATATGAGGTACAACAATATAGAGGTCAATCGACGTCAGACATGTTTTTTACCCAGAGCTCATGGATCTTATTCACATAATTTTGCACATGATTCATAAATTACAGATATTTCCTTGCTAAATTCATAATTATTATACATGTAGGCCTATAAAATATGCACTACTTTTTTTTAACTAGGAAAAACAGTGTTCAGAGAGGATAAACAGGGAGAGAGAATGTTCTAATTTAGAGTTTTCTCTGCTTGCGCATGGTTCCTACTGTAGAACAGATGAGTCGGGTGATCACAGTACAGATGCAAGTGCTTTAATCAGTGCCTATGCCCTTAGCAAAATCAAATTGATTGAATTTTGATTTATTTTGTAGTTGTTTTCTGAGCATTGGATTTTCATTGTTTTTTGATTTGCAAAGAAATCAACTGTGCCTCCTTGCTAAATTGTATGGGAAAAAAGCATTGAAATAGCATTGAACATTGGATTTTGATTTATTTTGCATTGACTTTTGATTGAAAATGGCTGGATTTTTGCGAAATATATAAATGAGATGAAGGATTAATTTGACATCACGGAAAAATGCAAAATCAATGCAAAACAAATGAAATACAGTATGAAGCATTTATTTGATGTCACTTAGCATTATTGTGACATCACAGAAAAATGTTAAAGTAATACATATAAAAACATTTAAGTGATGTTATGAAACTTGAGAAGTAACATAGAATAAATACATAATTATGGTAACAAACAATATCCAGCATCATGCTCAATGCAAACATTATTACTAATAATCCATCACATGTATCTTTACCAAAATTTTGAATACTTATCTTAAAAATTCACCAGTACAGTTATAAATTCAAGTAAATGAATTACTAACTTCCTATTAATTAAATGTTACACTTGAATGTGTGTGAGACATGAATAAAACCCAAAAATCACCGACACAATAACAGTATAGTTCCATACATTAATCAAATATCACAAAGGCACAATTTGAAGTACACTTCCTTGAATTCCATTTCTATGTTACTCAGCAAATAAGTTTCTCACTTTCTGGACTGTTATTGGTAGTTTTTGTGGAACTGCATATTAGTTAAATCTTTTTTTTCCATTTAACTATAGACTGCTTTAAATTTATTGAACATTTTCGGTGGCACAGCATCTAACTTCAAATTTTTGCACTTGTAGCATGTACATACCCTGAAAAAAAAAAACACATTCAAGATATGTATTTATCATTTGAATAAATGAATCTTTTAAATAAAAAAGAAATGAGAGTCAAGACTGCATGGTGTTTCGAGGTTTGATGCATAATTAGTAATTCTGTAGTGTAGACTAATTAGTTTATAGTTACACTATCAGCTCAGCAGTGGACACCAGCAGTGTTGCTTAAACAAAGAGCATAGATTAACTTAATTTGATCAGAAAGCATGTGATGGAAATTAAGCCCCGATCTTTGTTTACATAAGACTTCCTTGGAGAGTGAAATTTAATACTTGGAATGTTCACCCTCTCTGAAATTCAACAGAATGTGTAATGATGGGTAAAATAATGTTATAAACAGTGATTAAGAATAAATTTTGAGAAAAAAAGAAATAACTTACTTCCTGAGAAAACAATGTATCCATTATTTGTATGGCATCTACTTCAACAGCACCATCTTTTCATCACCTTCAATATCACTTGTCTGTCACAAAACAACACTAGCTGTCTTCATCATTCTTAGATTGTACACAACTTTTTGCCATAATATGAATAGTTTAGTCCACAGGGAAGAACACAACAAAATGTTGATCATTTCCATCAAAGTACATCATGGCTTCTAGCTTGTCTGGATGCAGCGCCAGCAGAATTTGAAATGGCTGATAAAGTGACGTAGAGTAATCACATGATTTTTATCAGCCTCTCCCTGGATATGTTTACAGCTGGTCAGCACTAATATAACCAGCAATATACACAGCTGATAATTAAAGCTACCATTTATTTCTGAATCAATGCTTCAGAAAATAAATACAAATTCAATCATGGATTTACCAAAGAGATCACTTCATGTGTAATTTGTTATTGGTATGACATCATATAAATTCAAAATAAATGCAAAATAAATGCATTGAAACAACATTTATTGAAAAAATCAAATTTCAATCATTCCAAAATCAATGGTCTGAAGATTTTTGAATCAGATTCAATCAAAAATCAATGCATAACCAATGTTCAATGTATTTTCAAGACAAATAAAATCAAACATCAATGCAAATATAGCATTTGTTTTTGCTAAGGGTGGTCATGATGAAAATGGACCAACAGATGATGTTGACATTAAACTGCCTTGTGATGCAGGTACATCATGAATGAATTGATTAACAGTAAACTGTACATTTTATTTGCAATATACATCTTTAGCAAGATTCGTACCAGTATGTCAATTTCAATATCAATATAAAATATTCAGTAAATTAATTTTGTAAAATGTAAATATTTTTTTTTCATTCTTCTTGCTATAATTAAATTATTGATGATATAAAACATTTAAAGGTGTACAGTGTGAAGATGACCCCCTCCTGCAAGAAAACAGGAACCTTAAAGAGGAAGTAAGAAGACTCCGAGAGGACCTAGGAAAACACAAATGGTCTGCTGAGCGCATTAAAGATGATGATGGCATGACACGTTTTTACACTGGCCTACCTTCGTTTACAATCTTCTTGTGGCTGTACAAGTAAGTTTTGACATCTTTTTCTCAACTAATATTATTTTCACATATGAATCTTTTATACAAGTTAGGAATATAATAAACAATGAACATAATTACTTTCATGGATCAAAAACTGATTCACCTTTTTTCAGAGGTAGTGTACTATTTGTTTATGCAACAATTGAAGTATATTTCAGTTGTAATTGACTGCTTAAATTTTTGGATTTTAAATATTCCTATAATTTAAGTTAGCTTTACAGATGTGAGAATTCGAATGTTAATTCTGCAATTTCATTGGTTACAGTTACCTTTCAAGTAAATGTTCAAGGATGACATATTGGAGAGGGGAGGGACAGACGTCAACTACAGACAGAGTGAGAATGTCATCATCCTGCTTACATCCAATTGATCAATTATTTGCCGTCCTTATGAGGTTGAAAGTTGGACTCTATGTACAGGATATATCAGAGAGATTCCAGATCAGCAGTGCTTCATTTTCTATGTATTTTACTACCTGGATCAGTTTAATTCATGCCGAACTTAAGTTTTTAAACCCATTTCCAAGCAGAGATATAATCAACAGAACTATGCCTGAATCCTTTAGATCTAAGTATCCATCAACCAGAGTGATTATTGACTGTACAGAACTCTTCATTCAATCATCAAGTAGCCTAATAAACCAAAGCCTTACATTTTCTAACTACAAGCATCATACCACTGTTAAATTCCTAGTCGGTATAAGTCCATCTGGAGTAATCACTTTTGTTTCTGGAAAACTTCAGACCGTCAGCTAACTGAGGAATGTGGCCTACTTCCCCTTCTTGAGCCAAATGACAGTGTAATGGCAGACAAAGGATTCACCATAGCTGACTTACTTGAAAAAAGACAATGTTCCTTAAACATTCCACCATTCAGAGGTATTAAATAGAGTGCTAAGATAAAGTTGTAAATGAAATCTTAGATTTCCCCTAATGCCAGATCTCATTTTAATCACCCCCTCCCAGTCGATCAACTCAGCATATATTTTTTGTTTTTTGTTTATATTTCTTTTCTTTTCTTTCTTTTTTTTTTTTTAGATAAATCAGAAAAACATTGCATGGTAACTAGCTTAAAAATTTTTATTATTATTGTATTCTAGGCACTTCTAACCAGTTTTCGACAGATGAAGTCTTCAAGACCCAGGAGATTGCTCAACTACGGATCCATGTTGAAAGAAGCATTGGGCGTGTGAAGAACTTCCACGTTTTAGAAGCAGTAATCCCCCTAACAATGGTCAACTTCATTACAAAAATATTCCAAGTCTGCTGTTGGCTGACCAACCTAGATTATCCCCTTGTTGATGGGAAAAAGATTTCCACTGATGAATCATAACTCTGTAAGTATGATATCTAAATTCTTGTTTTGATTTTAATGAATTCACACCATAATGCATATTATTCATAATTATGTACTTAAAGCTGAACGCGACGTGTAGATACTAGTAGGCATACAAGATTGTCGATATCATGCACACAATATACAAAACATATAACCACTTAACAAGACCTCTCTTCTAGCAGTTCATAACACATCGCTATGCATCATTAGACATATTTCAAGACTTGTACAATAATGGATAAATTTGATCCATGTAAAATTTCACTAACTTTGGCATCATAGAGTAAACAAATTGCTCGTCAAAAAGAATTCGTTCTATAAAGATGTTGTTTGCCTTTGCTGCTGTCCACACAACAAAATCCACCCAAGGTACTCCCTTGATGGCCATTTCTCCCTGTACCTGAGCATAAAATTTGTGCGATTTTCTCAAAGTTGGCCCACAAGATGACATCTCAAGACAAAACTGTCTGTCATTCAGTTCTAAAATTTCTGAAATCTCACACTGGGTAATATTTTTACCCTTAATGGAAAAGGGGCACTTAATTTCAAGTAAGCCAATGTCTCCATTTTCCATTATCTTTCCGTCACTGGAGGCCCCAAGAAATGAGTATGTAGGATACAGCGTGATCCCTGTAGGAAGTACATCAGTGTTTTCATTAATGGCCCTTTTCATGGAAAGGTACTCCTCTCTGGCGTCTGCTTCGTGGTCAATCCCCCACTGGACTGGTGGTGGTAGTGATGTGTATCTGAAATATTTTAAATTCAGAATAATAGAAAGGATAAGGTATCCTACATACATATTGACTACTTTACATTCTAGGTACATGTTGCTTCATCATTTGATGTACAAAAAGGGAAATAACTCCACCTACCATAATTAAATGAGCTTTAATTACATGAATAATATTGTTTTAAAAGGAAAATTACTTGTCAAGATTTGATCCATGTAAGATCTGATTGACGAGAGATTTTGCTGGGGTTTCTCTTGCTAGAAGCACATCACCAAACATAGAACTTGTTATTCTGCCAAGGTGGAGAGCTCTCCACATTTCACAAATTCTCTGTCCCCTTGTCTTCTCCTCTATAAAGTTCATTAGTTCTTCATCTATCACAGGTGGAGGCACTGTTGAAAATTAGGATTACTAGTTTAACAGTTACTAATTTTAATGAGATTGACTCAGTTGATAATAATTGTTTTAATTCTATTTTTGGAAATTGGTCTATGTTTATAGATTTATATTTAGGTTTTTGACATATAGGATAAAAATTTTACTTTTAACTTACAGTTTTCATCTGATAACACCATCTTTTCCATTTTAAGGTACAATGGGTGCACAGATGTTTCCACCTCCACTTCAGCTTCTACAGCACTAGGGACATTGGAGTCTGGGATATTCCAGAGATGAGCCATACCTAAACAGCAAAGATTTTATTATTGAATCACTGCATAAAATGCTAAACATGTGTACTATAATCCTCTAATCATTTAATTTTAAGATTTATTAAATATTTTTCCCTATTCAATTTTTTTTTTCAAATTGTTACTTATCTGGTACCTTTATGTTTTTAAACTTCATACAAGAAATACCTCAATATTTATAATATTTATATATATTGCTCTTAAATTGATTATAACAGTCATTAAAAAATTCTCATTGCAGTGAGATGTTTTTTTTTTATATTCAAATTTCATTTTTTTTTTATTTCGAACATGAGAATTTAAATATAATTTAAACCTGTATGAGGGAAACAAGCTCTTAGTTCCCTAAGTTGATCCAGAGACCAAGCAAGGTTAGGATGTTTGTCCTCAGAATGACGAGGGTCGAACCTGGCCATTGCGGAACCATGGGATGGTGACGATAATCTGGCTACATCATCATCAGCATCACAGCTTGCCATCGCCTTGGGTCTTGAGAGGTCAAGGTTACTTATAGGTTTTGGCTTTTGGTTCATTGATCGTGGCACTTTCCACTTGCAGAGTGTTGACGTACAACTTTGTTCCCCTTGTAAAGGTGCCTTTGCAGTGGATTGCATATTGCATATTGTGAAGAGTAGCCCCCCAATATGACTACATGCTTGAGCTAATCTGTACATGTAATTTACAGAAAATAAGAACATGTATATAACAACATATTTTTAGAATAACATAAAATGAAAAATTAGATTTCATATAATAATTTAATTATCTTTTAAATAAGAACTGTGAAATACTTACCCTATGGGGCATTGACAGTAGGCAAAGTCCACCCTGTTTGAGCCATTGGCGTTACTGATACACAAGAAAACCTGATAACGCTGCTTTTTCATTGAGGCTAGGCAAAATGCTCTTATATACACTGTAGAGTCATCAATCTGAAATTTTTTGAAATAAATTATTTTAAATATTTTGTCATTTTTGGAAAAAATTGACAATGAATAAGTATATAATATAATAATTGTTTTTGATGTCCAATTCCTGTTGTCTAGTCAAAGAGCCATAGCGCATTTGATAGTCACTTTCGCCTATTCTAGTAGTGCATCAGATTTTTTAAATACATTTTTTCACCAAAATTTTGTCATATAATGTTATTTTATACATGCTTTAAAGCAATCACACAAAAATAATATTTAAATATTAAAAGTTTGCTCATATGATAGATATAAAAATCCTTCAGTTTATATGGAGAATATAATAAGAATTATTAGGTATCCCCCTAAACAGTGACAAACTTTAGCTAAAGACCACCCTTAACCAGAAAAATAACTTCTGAATAATTTTATTTGGATATGACTGCTCTTCATTACATTTAGACAATTTTGGTTAAAGGTGGCTTTTATATTGAAAATGTTGAACTATTCTTATCACCCAAAGTCATAATTGCTAGCTTCTTTTATTTTTTATAATCTAAAAATCTTGTTTAGAATAAGGGTATTGAACAAGTAAAATGATTCTCATGTAACAACCGTGCAACTATGAAAATATAACATTAGTCTATAAATGATTACATGCATGCAAGCTGATCTTGAATTGAAAAGATACATGTATAGATCTAAAAATAGAAACAGGTGGTTTCCTTTTAAATACTTGAGTCAGCCGTGTCGTCGGTAACGCAGCTATGGCTCTTTGTAAGTTGCATGTTGCTCTTGAAAAAGATTTTTTTAACAAAGACTGGATTTCCATATAATATTATTAACTTACTCGTGCAATACACATATCCTGGACATCACCAGCATCAAAATGCTTCACAGACTTATCTAGTCCTTTGAAGTTTTGCATTTGGATGCTTTGATCCCCCTGCCTGCGCCTGGTTATCATAAAATCATAGACTGTAGAAAATAAAATGATGGGAGGTTTAAGGTCGTTGATAATTATCTGATAATGAACTGAATTAAAAGGTGGCAGGTTAATTTTCCTTGAACTGAACGTCGGTGGGATTAGCAGAGGATGGCAATTGCACAACTGGAGTTAATAATTCTGATGGCGTTTGGCGAGACAATATATCACATATGAGATCATCCTTCTTTCTTTTTGTTGAATTGATCCCCAGATCAGCTGCAATGGTGCGTAATATACTAACATTTGTTTTTTTCAAGTTTTCGCGGGTCGCCATACTCGTTGCCAATGTAAACAAGGTAACGATAAACAGGAAATGTTTGTCACTCGTACATGAATTGATATAAATAACAAAAAACATATTACAAACCAATTTTATTCAGTTTAATAAGCAAATATCAATTTAAAAAGAATGTACGACGATTTTTTTCAAAATACTTTTGACGAAAATGAAGCGTGGAATGTTGCGCAGAACGACTCGTGTTTTATCCACTCGGAAGTACTTCTGCGCATGTCTGCATATATTATTAAAAAGGTCTATTATAAGTAGATAACCAGTAGAGCTACAGTCTCAACAGAGACTTCTGGTTATTTCACTATGATTGTTAAAAGAAAAAGTAAAATGTATAGGATTTTTGTCATGAATGAAATATCTGCTTTCTCTAACAGCAGCATTCATCAGCTGTCATGAACACGGCTGTCCAGCCATTGAATAGGCACCACATCACCAGCTTTTAATATCTAGAGGACGATAAGGGGAAGTCTGTATCTTTGACATCCGTCAGAGACAGCGTAGAGACACCTTCCAAGCACACGATGTACCAATCAGATGTTTTAAAGGTCTTACGCAAGGAAATAGCCAATCAAAATGAACTTAGTCAATTGAAGTTCCATATATATAGAGACAATTTTTTTTTCTTTTTTCATTTTTGGCAATTCGTTTTAGGCCTACAGTATTAATTAAAATTGGACTCATGTACTAGGAATATCATTTTTTTAGCAGAATTATCCCACTGAATTAAAAGGAACTCTTTTTTGAGGTGCGCATAATGCAACTTCCTGGATGGTGTGTAGGCATTTTGTCAACATGTGAATCCCATGTGCATTTCGGGGTTGGTAAGTTTACTGTCGATTTTCTTTCTTATTTTAAAGCCGCATAAGGCATATTTTTTCTGATCTCAAATTTTTGTTTAAGCATTAATCTTTATTTTCTCTTTCATGAATTTTCTGCTGAGAGTCTAATAAATTAAATAATTTAATTCAAGTTATATAGTAATATACAGCTCAACAAACTTTTTAAGCTCACATGGTTTTTCGCACAAATTAAGGTCACATTTTTGTAATAAAAATTACAATTTTCGAAGCTCAGAACGATGACATATAGCCCTACGTAATATTACATATATAATGTCAAGTATAAATTTCTTTTAAAAGTATTATCTTAAGTTTTCAAAGTGGATGTTTTAGAGGGGAATTTATCAATAAATGGTACTATGTTTCTACGATAGGCCTCTACCATAGGTTTTTTACAAATAATATAAAACGTGCTTTCTTTGATACAATGTAGTTGAAAATGTTAAATTTTCTTCATAAAGGTGAGTATTATCTTTAAAAATTTTTGCTCATTTACCATACTCATCTGGGTTTTCTCGAAATGTAGCACCGAAAAGGGATAACATTGCAGAGAGAAACCATGCTACAGGGTAGGCTAATGAAGTATTGTTTATTTTTTCTAATAGTAAATTTTTTCTTTGAAAAGAAAAATTCTTCTGCCTTTTCGGTTTGAAACATTAGAATTTTGCTGTGGGACGAATCTTTCATGATTCTAGATTTTTAGAAGGTGACTCTGAAAAATGCCACCTTATTAACATACAAAGCAGTCAAACAGATGAAAAATACTATTATCACCCTGCGCTAAAGAGTCAGAATGTAAAGAAAATACAAGTTCCAGTAGCTGAAATGTGCCCGTGTCTATGTTTCTGCAAAGAGCTACTGCTTTCAAAAGAACGGATAAAAAGACAGCTGCAATTGGCAAGAAACTACAAAAAATCAAATGAAAATAATTGTTATTTTTCAGTCAAGAATATATTAAAGTTCTAGCAATTGATTTGTATGAATTATGTTTTAGTAAATGAAATAAAACTCAAATAACATAAACAAGTACTTTTAAAATGTACGTATTTTGATGTCTCAACACACAATACTACATTATAACAATGTGACCTTAATTTTTGCGAAAAACCATGTGAGCTTAAAAAGTTTGTTGAGCTGTATAGTGAAATTATTTCCTTGTGTGAGACCTGAAGAGGGACAAGTAACTCTCATTTTCACTAAAATTTCTCTGATTTCAGGAGTTGTCTCCCCTTGAAAAGATCAATAATGGCGGATAAACAATGCGGCATGCAGTCTGGTCACCAACGGACAGTTTTGACACCCGTATACCTGGATTTCTACCAATTACCTCTGTAACCTTTGTTGTGTTCATCACACATGTAAGAAAAACAAGATTTTTCATTCAAAAAATTTTAATGAGCTAAATAATAAAGAATATAACATTTTTACATGTACAGACTCTCTCGTAACAGAAAATGTCACATTTTACACATACAATAATACAATAAATTTATTCACATGTCCACATTTTCCCCATTTACACAGTTGAAAATAATCAATGCATAATGAACCATAAAAACAATTATTACATGTAAGATAGTTCACAAAATATATTTTTAAATACAAATTTTATACATTTGAAATGCATGTACATATCATCAATGCCTCCCTTCACACACACACACACACACACACACACACACACACACACACACACACACACACACACACACACACACCCCCCCCCCCCTTCACAGTCTTACAATTTCCTTTTTAATTTTGGATCTCTTAATGATTTACTGTAAGTGTCTTTAGATTTTTTATCGTACAGCTGATATCTTTTAGATCTGTAGAATTTTCTTTGAAATTTATATTTTAACAGTTTTTGTTTCATTTTAAAGTAATTTTGTCTATTTTGTTGTTGTTTTAGATGCTGGACCACTCTACTTCCTTTGACAACAGGTGCCCCTACAGATTCACAAAGTTCCAGTGTTGAGTTTCCATGACACCTAGCTAGTGAGTTCACAACTTTATGTATTCTACTTTCAAAATTCCTACTACTTGTAATACATTTTGGATTTGATTTTTAATATGCCCTATTTACAGATTCAGATTTTTGTTTACAAGTATGATATTTGATTCTATCAAGATTAATTTTTCCTAAAGTCAAATTTATACGTACAGTTTTTTAACAAATATTTGTCTTTTTCTGTCATGTTTAATTCAAAGTCACTAGGCAACACTGAAGATTTCCACTTATTGCTTTTCAGTCCACGACAGGAAAAGGAATAGAGTTGACAGGACTTCCCGCACTGTCCCTGGTAGCAGTTTATGAGGGAACCAACCGCAGTAGACATAGCACGCTTCATCAAAGGTAAGTCGCCGGAGTAGTGTTTGTAGCAATTCTCGTACTCTGTCCTGCATCGAAGCTTCAGGTCCAAGGCAAATCTTCTCTGCATGGATTCTCTTATGGCCTTGGTTCTTCCCGGAAACATGTAACTGCTGAATGGAGCCTTAGCAGTCTGTTTTCTTTGAGAGTCAAAGAGGTGACACAAGTCCTTAAGGTTTTCAATCACATGTCCTTGTTTTTCAGATGCACCAGATGCAGCGACACTGTCTCCATCACTGGTGAAATGGGATATGACTAGTGGCCGGTCATCACTTTGTAACTCACCTACACAATTAGCGGCCCATCGCTTCTCGTCTCCAATGGTGGTCTCCGGAGGAATGGTTGCAGTGCAGTCTTCGTGTCCTGGGCAGGTAACTTCTTTTCCTTTGCTTCGTAGGTGTGCGCCTTTCTTACATAGTTTATTCCCACAGAAAACTGCTACCACATTCTTCCTCTGAGTTACATTTTCACTTACGGTATACGTCACTTGGATGGCAGCTTGGAATGGGGTTTTCCCAATGGTACTGAAGGTGGCATTATTGTAACGAGCATCTCCTTCCGCTCTGATGGGGGTATCCGGAGACCAGAAGAGCTTATGCGATAGTAATGCGTCCGTCGTCCGTCCGTCTGTCTGTCTGTAAACAATTTTTCAAAATGCTACTTTTCCTAGAGTTTTGGTCCGATTTCAATATAACTTGGCACACAAGTAGACTACACTAAGATACGTAATTCTGTGCATGGGTTTTTGATTTCGATGAACGGTGTTGCCGTGGTTACTAAAAATAGAAATTTCTGTGAAATTGTTTCAAAATGCTACTCCTCCTACATTTTTGGTCCAATTTCAATATAACTTGGCACACAAGTAGACTACACTGAGATACATAATTCTGTGCATCTGTTTCTGATTTCGATGAACGGTGTTGCCGTGGTTACTAAAAATAGAAATTTCTGTGAAATTGTTTCAAAATGCTACTCCTCCTACAGTTTTGGTCCGATTTCAATATAACTTGGCACACAATTAGACTATACTAAGATACATAATTCTGTGCATCGGTTTTTATTTTGATCACTGGCAAGGATCATTTTTCTATTTATTGCTGATTTAAAGTCTCAAGTCCCAACTGCTACTTTTCTCTTCCTTTGTTTTAAGTATAAACCAGTAGAGCTACAGTCTCGACAGAGACTTCTGGTTCATTAAGTTCTTGAATATTCTGCCAGATTTTCTTCATACTGTTTTTAGCTCTACTGGTCAGAGACCAGAAGAGCTTATGCGATAGTAATGTGTCCGTCGTCCGTCCGTCTGTCTGTCTGTCTGTAAACAATTTTTCAAAATGCTACTCCTCCTACAGTTTTGGTCCGATTTCAATATAACTTGGCACACAAGTAGACTACACTAAGATACATAATTCTGTGCATCGGTTTTTGATTTCAATGAACGGTGTTGCCGTGGTTACTAAAAATAGAAATTTCTGTGAAATTCTTTCAAAATGCTACTCCTCCTACAGTTTTGGTCCGATTTCAATATAACTTGGCACACAAGTAGACTACACTAAGATACATAATTCTGTGCATGGGTTTTTGATTTCGATGAACGGTGTTGCCGTGGTTACTAAAAATAGAAATTTCTGTGAAATTCTTTCAAAATGCTACTCCTCCTACAGTTTTGGTCCGATTTCAATATAACTTGGCACACAAGTAGACTACACTAAGATACATAATTCTTTGCATCGGTTTTTGATTTCAATGAACGATGTTGCCATGGTTACTAAAAATAGAAATTTCTGTAAAATTCTTTCAAAATGCTACTCCTCCTACAGTTTTGGTCCGATTTCAATATAACTTGGCACACAAGTAGACTATACTAAGATACATAATTCTGTGCATCGGTTTTTATTTTGATCACTGGCAAGGATCATTTTTCTGTTTATTGCTGTTTTAAAGTTTCAAGTGCCAACTGCTACTTTTCTCTTCCTTTGTTTTAAGTATAAACCAGTAGAGCTACAGTCTCGACAGAGACTTCTGGTTATTTACATCAGTTATAATTTTCCCCACTTTGTTGCAGGTCTGTTGCATGTTGGTGGCTGATGCTGGTTCAATATTTGCACCAAGAAGCATACCACGCATACCCTCTGTTGTAAGACTGGTACCCAGGTGACCGACAGCCATGGCCACATTCAGCTGTGCAGCTCTTCGTCCCCTGCCAGATCTTCTCACCTCTTCGTAAAGCTTTTCTCGGTGACTGGTATAGTGGCACTTCTTACATCGAATGGAAAGGATCCATGCCAGGCCTCGTTTTTCCTCCCCATGCTGAT